ACATTCCCTACCTACTTAAACCTGTTCACCCTCCTTTTCTTATAAACCGCATATCCATTCTTTTATACCCATTATATTACCGTTAAAAGCTATCCAATAATCATACATTCTTCTTAAAGCGCTTCTAGGAACCAACTCTGTGCCCAGTTCCACTGGATGATTGAAATAAAAACCAGGCTGCCACTAAACTATTTCCACAATCAAAGCTGAAGCCCCTTTCTAAAATTCTAGTTCAATCTAACTTTAAGCAGGGCTACAAAAGCTCCAGAGCAACAAAGTACAGAATAGCTCTTCCTTGTTCCTCCATGCTCAAAAATAATTTTGCCTTTAACTAACTAATTTTCTAGATAGAGCAAAGTCGCAAAACATCTCATTTATTTTGCAATCAAAAATAGAGCAGTATCTTAAAACTCTAAGAAACTAGTGTGTATATTATTCCTCATGCCTAATCGAATTTTACAGCAACAAAAACAATATTCTCATAAGGTTACATATGCTTAGAAATTCACTATAAAATCAAGCTAAAAATACTCACGAAGATCGTGATCTGTCGTCTTTCGATCGCTTCTCCATTCCTATGAAACCAGCACTTAATTGGGCACGTAACAACTTTTTGCTGTCTTCTGGAGTATCACTCTGAAAAGGCATTAGCAAGACCACTGTCTTTAAAAAACCTCACAACAATCATACAATTTATAGTTGTTGCACGTTACAAGATTAAACTTTGGCTTGCTTTTATTTAGGCCTGGTTTTTCAGGAGGCATGCTGGTCTAGAATAAACTACCAAGCAATTTTCGAATGAGGCAAAAGTTCGATTTTCGATGAATGAGTTCTGCAGAATGCCAGACACTTCCTTGTTCCTCTTCGAATGACAAATTCCTGGCTATTAACTCTGTGGTTTTTACGCAATATCAGAATTTTGAAAGTTACGAACCGGCAAGTGTCATAGTGAATGATCGATTTAACATTCTACCATTATCTACCATTATCTACCATCACTTTTCAAAATTCCCCGTAGAGATTGACAAAATCAGTAAAAATGGGTTTTTCCCCATACTGCAGGCATAAACCCCTGTTTATACACATTGATAGCATCGTGTATAAAAAGTAGAGAGCTTGACAAAATGGTTCTGGCAAAGATCAAAGTGACAGCAGTGTCAGCCCGTGACATTTGTATACAATATAAAATTTTCGTTACATCTTGGAAAGAAACATGAATATTTATTTCCAAAAAGCAACTAAAAAATTATATTACGAAAATCAAATCTGGTTTGACTATAGTTACTTTTTGAAATCATCGCACAAAATATCATCTATTCAGGGGCCGCAGGGAGGGGGGTGGCTAAAAGTTTTGGAGTGAATTTTTTGTACAAAAAAAGTGCGACAAGTACGAGAAGCGCGGCAAGTAAGAAAAGTGCGACAAGTACGAAAAGTGCGACAAGTACAAAAAGTGAGACACACAAAAAGTGTGACAAGTACGTAAAATGCGAAAAGTGCGACAAGTACAAAAAGTGAGACACACAAAAAGTGTGACAAGTACGTAAAATGCGAAAAGTGCGACAAGTACGAAAAGTGTGACAAGTTATGAAAGTTTACGAAAGGTACCGAAAGTTTGCTATGCTCCCTTCTTTTCGTGCGACCTCCTAACATTGCGGTAGCATATATTTATTTGGTAAGATATGCTTTTAAAATCTTTGAACTTTGAACATTTGTTCTTAAATAGCATTATGGAAAAAGCCAAAAGGTAAAAAAGCATAAAGTGTATGTGAAAAAACGGTACAAGTTGGCTGAGATAATGGCAATTGAAATATTTTCAAATTTTCTAAAGGATTACCGTAGTTTTAGATTGGTCCGTCGAATTTAGAACCAAGACCAAAAAAGTGACTTGATCGGGAAAATGAATGAGTTCATTGGGCTGTGTGTCAGGCAACATTATCGTCCCTTTCAATGATTTGTTTGACTATTTTAAACTCTATTTCAGGTGATATTATCAAATTCAAACATCAGGTCATCACAATCTGATTCTATACAGAGGAAAAGTAAAGGCAAAATGCACAATGAATTAAATTAGAATAAAATTAAAAAAAAATTAAAAGTATATCTGCGGGAAGATTTTTAAGAAGAAATGCAAATAACTCACCGCTGTTACATCTTGATTGCTCTTTGACATCATCAGGCCAAGCTTCTTTCGTAGGCCTAGAAGATGGCGATAAATTCAAAATGATTGAAATTGAGGCACAGCCACATTTAAAGTTTTTAACTGAGCCCTATCATGATAACAAACGGTAATAAAAAAGCAGGTACACGGAAAAATAATCAGCAAATTGTGTACAGCGTCACAAAAACGCCGATAAGGGCCTTAAAGGAGAACTGACACGCAAAAATAAGTTTGGCTAAAACGGTAGTTTGTGACAAGCAAATTCCAGGATCGAAAAAATTTTTCAAATCATAATTACCGTTTTTGAAATACAGGCGTTTCAAGTTGAGAAACGACGATTGTTCCGACAACTTGAGACCCGAGGCGAAAATCGTCACGAGTGGGCGATCATCTTTGACGTCACAAGTGACATGTTCTCAGCACGTATTGTGTTTCTCTATAGAAACCTTTAAGAAAATGCTGCGGACAAATGTTTATTTTGTGCATGTGAAAGGAGCTAATTTTGCATTTTTGACACATAATTGACTTTTTCAATGGTTTGGGACTCTGAATCGGAGTTTTATTACACTGATTTCGAAACAAATGGAGAGTTTCAGCCGTCTGAGTTTTTTCTACCAACCAGCGCTGCCGCTTGGGCAGACAGTTGTCCCATGGCTCAACATTGACGATGTTATGAACAAAAAACAGACTGGAAGTACAAACTGGTATGGAATTTTTATTAAAAACAATGCTATTGCTACAATCTAAATGAGATCAGGTATCCTAAAACTAGAATTTCATTTCAGATTGAGGCGTCTTTGGCCAGACTGCTTTGTCTGTATGGCCTAATTCGCTGAAATGCCTATGATGCCCTAAACGTAACTGCAAGTTATTCATTATCAATGTGACATTCTATTATTGTTTTTCAATGCTTCAAACGCATTAACTGTATCGTGATATTAAATAGTAAAGGCGGGTTAAAAGTCGACTTGTGCGGATTATATGCCATTTTCACCGGGCGTGAAGGGTTTCGGGAACTGATAAGTTACCTGGCAGTTGAAAAATCTGGAGTTACGAAATAGGCTCTTAGCTCTTAGTCAAAGAACTTGATTTCTTAGTCGAAGAAAATGCTGTTTAGCTGTCATAGGAATATCAACTGGCGCATTATCTTCTTTTGCAAACAATTTTGACTTGGCTGGGGGATGGTCTTTTTGCAAGACTATGTTATTCCCTAGTATCTCAACCTATGTTAAAATACAATAATCAAGTTCAGTGAAATTATTATTTAGTCACACTCGCAGCTCCCATCAACCAAGGTTTTTTCTTGAATTCATATTTCTGCACTAAAAGCAGGTTGCAGGATCGCTTTTACCGCTGTCCCCACTGGATTTCGTTTGTCTTTTGGCTATTGTTTCAACCCACCCCCCACCCCCATTTTGCGATTTTATTTGTAATTATAAAAATAGAAACTTTGAAGAAACGGTATCATCAGTTTTCAAACAAAGTCGACTCCTCTTTTCACAAGCTTAGAGGTTCTTTCAATGTTTCAAAGCATGCTGGTGCGAAGAGATCATGGCATAAAAATAAATTTTATGTGGATATTAGCGTCCTAGCAGACATGTAGCTAGGATATTCTAGCTTCTTTATACTTATAAATGAAATGCCTGACAATTTTTTGCCTTTTCACCGCGGACTATTTTCAATAAAACACGAAACTTCATTTGTACTTTCACCGTTGCGGTGAAAGCCTTTACAACGGCATTGTTAACATGTCACTTGTGACGTCAACCGAGAATTTTAACAACTCCTGGCGATAATCTTGTTTCCGCTTCGGGAAATTCCCGAGTCCTGGCTGTGACGTAATTGACGGATAAAAGTGCAAATATCAGAAAAACGGCGAATCTAAGAAGAAAACTTTTTCCAGATTTGAAGTCAGCGACAAATTCTGCATCGAATAAGCCAAAGTTATTTTTGCGTGTCAGTTCTCCTTTAATGGAAGATTTATTCGGATTTTTACATCGAAAAGCTGTAGCTAATGGTGTAACGGAGTACTGAAACTGCGTATTCTTTTCTACACTTTAACAAATTGCTGCTCAGAGTAGAATCCATATTAAAAAATTAATTTCCACTAAAACTTAACTGTAAATTGAGATTTTTAAGGATGGCTGTACAATACTGAAGTTTGAATGACATTTGTTTGTGGGTCGGGAAATCTTATGAAGAAATAACGCAAGCGTGCAGGAAACAAATAGTAATTGTGACTGCAGATGAACGTAGATAACAATGAGTTATGTCACAGTAGCCTGTGAGGCCTTTGCAAACAAAGGCAGGATAAAACAAGGTCTTCCTTTCAATATAAGAAACAGAACTTCCCCTAAAAAAGAACAACCTCCCCAATCACGTAGGTCTAGAAGCAACGCTAAAACAAGTGATTCTGCCAACGGACAACATTTTTTAGACAACCCAGATTGTGCCAAAATCGCCTTTTTATCTAGCAGTTTTGTGCCAGAATCGATCTTTATACAAAAAACCGTTATTGCGTAGACAGAGGGAGTCCGTTTTCTCTCTTGGCCTCCAGTGCTGATTTTTTGATAGGCACTCGGTACTGATTGGACAACTATACCGGTCATGTGCTCGCGTTTTTCTGATTGGCTTATTTCGACCCGCAACTGTATATATTTTCCATTTTGTTCATTTGGACATTTATTCTGATGTTTTATACTCTGAGGAGTGTCAGACAAAAAAGCAATTGATGTTAAAAAGTGTTTGGTTTTTCAAACTTATTACTGCCAAAAAATTTTTCATATTTATGTTTTAAAAGAAAAATCATCGTCAAGTTTCAGGCTTACTACAAAACAGCCTCTGATGTTTGCATATTTTTCGAAAATAAAACGTTGTACCCCAAGGCTCTGTGCCTGGACCATTAGCATGCAATCTTTATTCTCAATGAAACCATTAGAACAATGCCAAATCTCTTGAAACACTAACGCCAGTTTTTAAGAATTCAGATATCCCACTCTAACGACTTAAATAAAGTGGGCTTACTACAAAAGCACCTAAGACATTTGCAAGCATGTTTTTTGCCAGAAAACAAAAGACTATGCACCTAATCAAGGCTTTGTCCCTGGACCATTTTCATTCAAAGTTTTCCTTTATGAAACCATCCAATCAATCCCAAAAATTTTGAAACACCTCCATCAATTTTCAAGAAATCAGCTATTAAGAATATATCAGGAAGTACGATTATTCGTGTAAAGTGTCTAATTTTTATCTACACTATCAACATCGCTAACAGGCGGGGGTAAGGGTGTGGGGTAGGGGGTGGCAGAGAGCGGAAGTGGTATTGTAATTTACTTACCAGGCATTGCATATAACTGCATGATGTTTGAAAAACGTTTGTTAAGAATTTTTGGATTCTAAACATAAAAATTGAAAGAAAACCACAAAATACGCAAAATGTACAAAATCCGGTAGATCTTTTACAGACTGCGTGAGATGAAAGGCACAGCGGAGCCGGGGTAAGGGGGCTGGGGGCTATTGGGCCCTCCCTTTTTGCTGAGCTATGATATTCAGGTAGTGGCATGGGAAAAAGTACCATAAAAGGTTGCCAATTTGTATATAGAGCCCCCATTCCCACCCCAAAATGTGCTCTGGTGTCCCTAGATGATACCAGGCAAGTACAGGCCTTTAACCTAATCCAATCATTGTAAATTGGCAAATAACAAACTGCAAAATGAACTAAGACAAAATAACAGTAACCCGTTAGCATCTGCCAATCTTTAACGTGTTATTTATGCTCACATAGTACAAACATTAAAAAAAGTCTAAAAATAGATCTTTATGGTGTTATTATTTCACCACTTCATAAACGACCCGAAATGCCAACGCTGTTAGCATGTATTTGCATCAGAAGAGTTCTTGCAATACTGCATCCTTAAAAACATTTTGCTCACCTTTTTAGATGCATTCATCAAGAAAGCTTGCCTAGAAGAGCTCCGCAGTTGCAACTATTGAAAAATTGGGCGAATTGCCATATCTTAATCTGATAAGGATTACTTTAGCAAGTACAATATCTCGGATAATCGACCTCACCTTGCTTATGTTTTGGTTCAGTATTCTTCCCAATAATCACAAAATACCTGTCATAGCAACATTATTTAAAGCAAGACTTAGTTTCCACTTATTGAGAAGATAGCTCAATAGGAACACGCAATATACAGAGCTGACATCTGACAGGTGCTTTTCCGTTGATGTCACAATAGTATAATATAGCACTTCTTTGATTCTGACTAGCCAACTCTAAATGCGATTCAGCATTCAATCATGTAGATAGTGAAAAATGACGTAGTTCGATTGAAATATGTCGCAAAAAGTCAGGAGGAACCTAATCTAGAAGAGTCAATAGGGTGAAATGAATTCTGCTTGAAAGAGTTCAGAGCCCGACATTGAGCTAAACTTATGTCTTTGTGCACTACTCACTGGTTCTTATAAGTAAGCATGGTTTGTTGAAAATTATATACCGCCTTTTTCTTGCTTTGCTGTTTTTGCTGAGCACACTTAGGCCTGAAGAGATTTGGTTCTATCTGAAATATGCGAGAGTGCTTGAAGAGAGATATCACTTGATGGCTGTCCTCCGGATGTCCGAAAAACCTGACCAGACCATACACAAACCAGACCACCTTCAAACAAAAAATTAGCTCACTTTTGCTTGAATGAGCTTTCAGTTCTAAAGGAAAAATGTTCCTCTCTAATTTAATTTCTGGTAAAAAGACTGTGCATATTAGCATCATTTTGCTGCACCGTGCAATTTCATTGCACATAGATTTATTAGGTTTGGAATGACAGTTGTAACAAAGTACATAAAGTTTGTTAAAACGGAGAAAACTTATGGTAGGAGACAGAGTACTTCTGGAGAGACACAATTTTTATCATCTCAAACATCGCGAATTTGTCCTGCTCCATATCATTGTGCTGAAGTCAAATACACGATACTGCTGCCTACAGCTTTACAGCTCAAGAGAACTCTTAGCAACCGCATTTCTACTTGAAATTTACTTACCACGAAAGAGGTGTCCTGGAGGCGACAGTGAAGGCCCAAGGGTATGTTTGTCATTTCTTGGTGCGCCGAGATGCGTCAGATTTTCTAGTGATTTCGATCTAATCCGGAAGATATCTAGAAAAAGAAAAGTTTCCAGTAACATGTATGATCAATTGAAAAAACCAACTGAAAATTTGCATAATCTAAACAATTCAAGAATTTGATTAAAATTTGCAGTAAGTAAACTGTCTTATGCGATCCTTAAAAACTGTAAAAATACTGTGAAAATAAAATAATCAATACAATACAATACAATACAATACAATACAATACAATACAATACAATACAATACAATACAATACAATAAAATACAATACAATACAATACAATACAATACAATACAATACAATACAATACAATGTTTCAATGAAACTAATAGCTAAGATCGTAACAAATAAAAAACAACGGATTTTGCGGAGTCATTAACTGTCGATTCACTGTCTTAAACGGTTTTTGTGACCTAGCGTGCTTGAATTATGTTGTATAGATTCTGTGGCTTAGACCCTTTTACACTGTCGCGCGAGTTTGGAACCGTGACAAAACTGTCACTAGTCGCCTTTCCGTTTACACTAGCACTGTGGAACCGAGACGATTTTGCTTTGCTATCCGGAACAGTTTTGACCCTGCTTTGAAAGCGAAGGAATTTTGTACCGTCTGTTAAAGCCTATCTAGGACGATTTTGTTTCAGATTCACAAAGAGGTCTTTTGTATGGCTGTTTCAGGTAATCGAGGCTTTGTGGCGTAACTACGTTGTCAAATTCTGAAGAAAAGGAAATTCTGAAGAAAAGACGATGACAGAAAATGCTTGTATTGTTTCCCAGTCCAAGCCTTGATTGGACTTTGCAGTTTTGTAGTTTAAAATAACACAAAAAATTAAAGCCACCTTGTCGTCCGTCCAAGTAAAATTTTTATCGGCCTTCCGCTCCATTTTAGCTCTCAATGCGGCGGCAAAATAGAAGCCTTGGTTAACTAAATACAGCTTCTTCTAAACAATGTTCTACCATTAAATTAAGGTCGTACCGGTACAGTGTAAACCGAACGGCTAAACGAAACACTTTGGAACCGCGACAGTGTAAACACTTGCGAACCGAAACGGTACAAAATTGTCCCGGGACGGTCTTAGACAATGTCACTGGAAGTTAACTTGACTTCTAATAGCAGTGATTCAACTCCGTTTTGCAGCATATGCGTTTGGCTTGCATGTGGCTTCATATTTATGGGTTTATTTGCCGGATGTCGTTTTGACCCTCAACTTTAATTTAAATAATAAACTGTAGTTTTCAAGCGTTTGAAGGACACTAGACCCAAACCATGTTGTGTTCACGTTCAATTAAAAGTCATTGCTAGAGCTGCGATCTGCCTATCAAGGGCACCTTATATAAAGTAAAACTAAATGTAAAGTAAACAACATTAGATAAACAGAGCTTTTTTCAAGTTAATGGCTCAAAATTACCCGTTACTTAATTCATGCTGAGTTTCTTGTTCACCGTAACATTCATTCAATTAATTGAAACTCGGCAGTACATGGATTGGCTGTATATAGCCACTTTCTATGATAGTAAGGCCTGGTTCAAACGTCGCACTTCTCATGTGCCGAACCTAACTCTGTTTGGAGCGACACTTGAGCATGTTAAGCGCGACTCCCGTTTCAAACGTCGAACTTAATCATGTCGCGCCAAATGGGTTTTAGGATTGTTACATAAAGTATCTTGGTTAAGGCGCACAATCTCAAATATTTGTTTGAAACGCATGCGCCCTCCAAGAAAGAAATGAATTCTGTGAAGGAAAATAAATTAAATATAATTTTGCATTGAGTTCGGTACATGACAAGTTCGACGTTTGAAACCGTGCCGTGCTGGAGCCGTGCAGCTCGGCAAGCTTTGCCGATCCAAACTAGTCTGCCGCTCCTAACTAAATTTGCCGTACCAAATTGATTCAAACGTCGCGCCCCTCATGTACTTAATTCTCGAGTTAGGTTCGGCACATGAGAAGCGCGACGTTTGAACCAGGCCTAAGGAGTACAATCTCAGGTCGACTTTCAGATGGTAAAAAGGGTGAGGGAGAAGTGGTGTGGGAGGCGTAGCAAAAATATCATGTTTTTATTTGATGTTTATTTCAATGAGTTTAAATCAAAATTTGTTTGGCGGTGCATTGACTACAAAAGCCATGCTGGAAGCATTCTATGAAATGAATGTTCTTGCTACTACACTGTTCTCGTTTTTAGACATTATGAAATAAAGAAAGCTCATCTCGTACTAGTATAAAATAATTCTGAAAAACTGAAAAATCAAGCAAACAGAAAAGAGTCTCTCTCTTTGCGCATGCATAGAAGGCTGCAATTTGGCTTGCGGTGAACAAAAACAATCCTTAACGATGACGATTGAGAAAGGTTAATATTTGATAAAATTTAATAACAGCGTTGCGGAGATCCGATTTCCACACTAAATAAGCGAAAAAGAACACAGGACGCATAAAATCCTAGCTGAATTACTAATTACGGTGCTTCCTATCATATTCGACTGTCTCCATTGAAACTAAAAATATGTATGAACGATAGAAAACGAATGAATCAGAGACGGAATATCATCAAAACATTGTTGACTCTTCGCCATATCTCTTAGTCTCACAGCTATAAAAAATTTACGATTACCCATGCATAAAGCAGGGACTTTTTCATGCGCAAGAATCACTGAGAAGCACAGAGAAACTTTCAATGTGAAACAAACTTGAAAGAAACTACGATAAAACAAACGATTTTGGCGTTACTATGTTGGATGAAAATTGCAAACCATTATTTAGTTTTCTTTTAATTACCTGCTCAGCACCAAACAGGTTTCATTATTGAAAAGAAATCCGCCATGTTCTGTCTGGGCACATAAAATTGGCTGCAAAAATCTTATCTCGAAGTTTCTTTGGAGCCTCAAAGTAAAGTCGAGCAGCTTTTCGATTAGTAAGCGATATACTCTCTACCTTCAGCAAGCTTGGCCTGCTCCTATTAATATTTGATATGTATGGTATAAAACTGCCCGCAATCCTGAATTTTGGGGTCTTTGAGCATACTTAATGTCACCATAACTATAAATTTTCTGCATTTATAGAATATATGTAATTGTTTCTAAAATAATGCCCACACCTTTTGCATGCTAGCAAAGCGTTTCTATGAGGTGGAAAATTTGTTTCATTTCGAGTGAATAAATGCTTTTTACTTTATTTGTTTGGCGATAGAATGAAATTTGCTTGAAACAATTTCAATAAAAATCACAACAAACGGCCTACACTTGATAACAGTTTAATGACTTAAATGCTAATAATTTCTTTAAATGCTAATAACAAAAAATGATGTCAATCTAAACAACATAAGAAGGGAATGATATCTTTATAAAATCTTTTGGAGGCTCTTGCCATATGAAAATTCTGTTGCCAGAATACAATCCCGGACAGAAATACGACTTCTCAAGAAAAGTTATGTTTTATCTTTCCTTACAAAATAACTTCCCCCTCCCCCGCATTTAATGCTCAATGCATGCTCGATACAAAAAAGCACAAATGATAGAATTACAAATCCAACATTGATTCGGGAGGGGGGGGATTGTAGGTGACAGGTGCAGCCTAAATTTGAACATTGCAGAAATTGCATTTTGTCTCAATAATCTTGTCCAGAAATGTAGCTAGGTAAATCAATTTTAGATTAAGCTACTAGAAGGGCCGTTGCCATGGCGGGTGTGGTGTGGCATCCCTTTGGCCTCAAAATCATGGCCTTTTTTGCTACATTGAGTGTGTCGTCTGCAAATTAGCATTTTTTCGACAAATAAATGATGGTTCGCCTGCTTTGCGGGCACTTGGAACCTGGACACCCCTAAACAAATTCTAATTTCTAAATATATACAACTAATGAAAATATCATTTTTTACTGACGATTTTTGGGCATTATTTCATTAAAATTACATGAACAACGTCGATATGAGCTTCTAATGACACCGCAATGCAACTAGATCTCAGCTTAACTATACACTAACAATAAAGCTCAAGGCTTCAAGATTAAAACAGACCAAGGCTTCTAGAATGTGCATACTATAGAATGAATGGGCTGCTCAAGAGGCCTAGGGCTTTGGAAAGTAAACGAAATTTCTTACTGAGCGAGAAATGAGTTAAATATTTCGTACTAAAGCTGATTTCAGCATACATTTTGGTGAGGCTAAATTGCCAGTGAACAAGATAAGAAAACAGAGATTCTCATCAAATTGTGCATCCATTATTAATTTTTTGCTAATCTATTCCTCGACAATTCGCAGCAAAAAGGAAGACGACTTTGCGAGATAAACGCTTACGTATTTCATCCTCTGGTATTTTCAGTGCAGCTTCATTCCGTTTCATTGCAAATTAATTCATTCATGAATTTTCAGACTGAAGGCAAACTTCTAGTCTTAACAGAAAGGGTGCAAGATTAATCATTTTTTAACTCATAAATTCGTAATCGAGCATCCGTTAATAATTTTGAGCACCTGCACATTCAAAAACTTCAACCATATTCAATTCTAGCATAATCAAACACTTGATTCAAAATGAATGCAAGAAATAAAAACTGCCAGGAGGGCTCTTGCACCTTTGTAAAGAAAACCCCAACAATTGACGTATTTTATTTTAAGACCTTTTTGTCTCAGCCTCCTTGAGAATATTCAGCATCTATTCGAGATATCTTTCGCGTGTATTGGTTAGGGAGACGAGTCTACAATCTTGGACAAAATTATCGAGTGAAAATGCAATTTTTTCAATTTTATACTTGACGTTGCACCGTAAATTCAAACACTCCCCCGAATCAATGTTGAATTTGTAGTTCTATCATTTCTCTTCAAAATCATGCATGCAACATTCAATTGGGGGAGGGAGGGGAGTTATTTTTCGAAGGAAAGAGAAAATATCAATTTTCCTTTTAAGTCCCAACTATTTTGTCCGGGATTGTAGATTCGTTTTGTTTAGGGCTAGTAACTTAAACTTTTTTCTGAACCAATGAGAAATTGCATCATATGCACATGCGCATTAGGGCAAAGTCTTGTGGACAAACAATAGCTTATCA